TCTCTCTCTCTCTCTCTCTCTCTCTCTCTCTCTCTCTCTCTCTCTCTCTCTCTCTCTGTGTGTGTGTGTCTGCATGCTGACAGCAACGTCGTGCGCCATCAATCTATCTCTCTGGTGTTGTACAGCCATAATGAGTGTTCTGTCCGGGTCTTTCCTGCTTCCCCCGAATACAACGTATCCTCACCCTCAATGGATGTATAAAGCTATCTTTCCGATCCGGCACAGCCATAAGAAGGGTGCATTGACAGATTTTTTGGATGCGGGCAGCGCCTTTTCACATGCGCTGCCCAGCCTACTTTTGAACCCGGTACTGCCTGGCAGAAAAATACGGGCCCACAGGCCCTGTCCTACGCACCTCTACCAGGCCTGAACACTGTAGATTCTGGCGGTGTATTCGTTGGGGAATGCAAATCTACAGTGCAGGGCCTGATGGAGTTGTGATTCAAAGACAAAAGTAGTTGGTATTGTCTGTCACCGTGCCTCATGAGTTGGGGTGCTGGTATCACTCTTCTGTTCTTTCCATTAGAAACCTCTCCTCCTCTCGTCGAAACTTGCAGACCCGTATGTGCAAGTATGGTGTGGTAATGGCAGGGGTGACTCTTGTCTGCATAAGGAGCATTCTTTTGGTTCACTGCCACCATGACTCCATTAGATCATGTAATGTTTGTGGTACTGAATAGTAAAATGCCAAATGGAATGAATTCACGCATTCTGATTTATCGTTCTTCTTTGTCCAGACTCTAAAAGCCTGCGTTGCTTGCGTAAAACAAAAATCTTGGGTTTATGAAAACGCGCGAAGCAATCCTGGATGTGGTCCTGAGCTGCTTGATCTTTATATGTTTAGGTAACTGGATCCATCGTAGTTGGCTGGAGAAGATCGGTATGATTGGTTTTCTGACGCTTTAGGTTGTCTTTGTTTCTTTCTTGTTCCTCTGTCAGGGGCTTTCATTCTGGAATCTAGACAAGCATGAGCCTTTGACACTGGCATCTAATGGAGATATGAGGAAGGTTGTGGATGGTAGCAAGATGGCACAGGAGTCTCACAGCTTGGCTAATGGAAGCTTGCCGGCGACGGCTGAGAAAAGACCGATGGGAAAAGCACCATCGAAAGGTGGAGGTCGAGTGCCTTCTATTCGTGTGCGTGGTGGAAGTGGAGGTGCAGGATATGCTCTAGGTGTTCCTGGCGGTGGCGGCATCGGCGCATGGAGTTTCGGATGGGACGAATGGGAGGATGTTGGCGAATGGCCAACATCCTTCCCCACGGTAGAGACCGTCTCCTGTAAGGTGGGTGAGGGGAGGGAAGACAGAGAGATGTTTGCTTCAGGGCGGATATATTCTGTCTCTGCTTCTTAATTGCAATGTTTTGTGACTTTTTCCATTTTCTTTTGTGCATGTAACAACCACATTTTACTCCATTGTTATATGTAAGTACAGTCGAACCTTGTTAAACCACCAGTACTTCCTAAAGTCGTGCCCGTTAACGCTATGCGGGAGTGCCCAAATTCATCCAACTAGAAACGTTTCTACTCTATTTTTTTTCCGCGGCCGATAGCTGGGCCAAGTACTGGTGGTTTAAACTTCCGATGCATCATTGTTGGCGTGTTCGAGTGTGTACCCTACACACACTCTCTTTTCTCCTGCCTTGTACCTTGGACAAGTTATTCAACACTGTTGTCACGTATCTCCGGATTTCTCCGCAGTCTGGTGAGCCCTCTTTTGGAGAAGGGCCCGCAAGGGTCTGATTGCTCTGTATCTGGTTGGGGGTCCGCCAGATGCCAATCAACCATTCTTTCAGTGTAAGCAGGCATGCAAGTGGCAATGATTATTCGGACAGTGATATGGGGGATGACCTGTCTCCCATCCATGAGGCCAATGCCAATGATGATCACATAGAAGACATTGACCCCACCTAACTGAGGCAACACGAGGGAAAGGCAGCATCAGATTCTCTCGAAGATTTACTGATGGACGGTGGAGATCTTTCCTTGGACGCAGCTGAACAGCTATAACCACTTTGCCCTGTGACTGTGTTACCTGCAGTCCTGTCCAGGAGGCCGTTGTATACTCCAGAGAGTCGGCAGCTCCATCCATGCATGACAGGGTGTGGTATACACAATGTGTTCCTGTTCGAGATCATATGATCGAGTCCTGGCCTGGAAGTATCCGCACTCATGTGTACTTCTCTCTGGGTTGGATTGGGGTAACGCCCTTTGAGGACCTTGTCTGCATGTCCTCTCACCCACCACACTGCAGGCGGAAACTGTACACTCTCTTCATTGATCACTTGTGCAGGGAAAGAACTTTCAGCGTTTTCGCTGTGCCAAGTACAGATTACCATTCGTAGAATCGCAGAATTTCCTGCTTTCGCCTGTGACAGGGGGAAAGGAGAGAATGGCGGAGAGCACACACGAACTGGATGGAAGGATTCCTCTGCACTTTGTCTGCGAAGAGTACTCTGCAGCTCTTCAGAATTCAAAACCTGGAGCTGGCATGATCGATTTCCTGCTGGGTAACAGTTCAAGGCCATGTCATCTGCGATGATGCACTCTCTCTTGGTGTTCTCATGAGGGAAATCTGTTTCTAAGTGACGGAGTACTGCTGCAGTTATTCCTTGACATCACAAACGAGTGGCCCTTTTTATGCAGGCGCGGTAAAGGATAGCGAGTAGGGTTAGGCACATGAGTAGGGTTAGGCACAAGTACGTCACAGTCTTTTGTCTACTGTTTGACATTGCATTGTTCCCTTTCTGCATTTGGACATGTGTCGATGTCTATTTTTATACATAGTAGGTGAAACATTCATGAACGAGCACTTGGTTTTCATTTTTCCAACTTTCAACAGTTCGTCTCACACAAGATTCAGCACTTGCGTTTGAATTCCGAAAGGTTGGCCAGGTTGTACGGCACATCGGATTTGACATTGCATTGGTCCCTTTCTGCATTTGGACATGTTGATGTCTATTTAATATTTATACACAGAAGGTGTAACATTCATGAATGAGCATTTGATTTCCATTTTACCAACTTTCAACATCTCATCTCACACACGATTTAGCACTTGCGTTTGCATTCCGAAAGGTCAACAATGTTGATATACAAGGAGCATTTGATGTCATCAATGATGCAATACGACAACACTCGTAATGTGACAGCCTACTCCCAGCAGAGAACAGACAGCATTTCAGCAGCAACTCCCATGACGAACATATAGCACTTGCACACATGGATGTATGGAATATGGAGGATGCTTTTACGTGTATGATCTGATGTTCAATGCATCATATATTCAGCATGATTCAGTGCATCATACATTCAGCGAGATTCAGTGCATCATACATTCAGCGAGATTCAGTGCATCATACATTCAGAATGATTATGTTCGTCATTTCGAAATGATTCTTCGAATTTGCGGTTGGACAATTTTGCAGATTGATGCAAGCAACCAACAAGCACCATGAACCTTGTCACATTCATGAGGAAGGATGATCACCACTGCAACAGGCTTCCGTAGCCTTATGCAGAGGGCTTGTCCGACAGAGATTTATCTGATGCAGTCTGGTTAATGTAATGCACTCGTGTCTGGGGACTGTTATAAAGCCAGCAGTACAGCAGAACATGAATTCTTCT